GTGCCGAATTTCGGCGAAAAAAAATGCCAAAAAAGGCTTTTTCTAGAGACAAAATAGTGCATTTATATGCGTTTTATATTACCAGTAACCATCCACCCATCTCCATGTGCATGTCATTGACACACACAATAGCCAGCCTAAATAATGCAACCACAAAACGTCGCATCAGCTTTAGTGCACGAGCTGCAGGCCCTCCGATTGGTCGGCCGATGACGCGTCACATCCTCTAACCTAACAGGGTAATGAACCGGTAGTGATTTAATAGTGGTCACGTGTCATATTGAATCAATACATTACATCCCCTTCCTGGTGGATTTTAACTGAATCAGCTTCCTTATAGTCACTGGATAACCATTGATATTGGTTTCACACAAAATTACACGAATAATTAACGCAATAACATCAACTTTGGACTATTTGCTCAAACACAAATTACTGTCTTAGAGCCTGATGCTCATACAGATTAACGCTGAAGGTTAACTCATCCACTAGTCTACAATCATAAACTGGAGATTAGATTTCACAAATTGCTGTAAGCTATCCGCTTTCACAACATTCTCATCCACTACAGTCAAACTCTAAAGATCAAGTCTCTCTGGAGCCTTCCTCATCCGGGTTGATCGCCTTAGGGGAATAGGAGGTGATGACCTATCTATATCAAAAGGTGACGTCTGAGGGTTCACAGTCAACTTCAATGGGGTGTCTATGGGCCGCGGAATGTTATCAGCTCGTGGTAACTGATTACGCATTAAATGGGACTGCGGAACAGCCCGATCAACACCAAACCGATCTTTTTGTTTTATGGGCTACTTTTTCGTTGCACGTTGAACTGAATGCATGTTAACATTTTATTACATTGGATTATATTAGACCATTAATGTGATATTGTTGGTGCTATATATTGTATAATAATTTTGTGTCATGATTTATTAATATGTTTGTAATATTTGTAATTTTGTATCCTGCATGTAATAACTTCTGTGTTTATATTTAATGTACCTTTGATTGTTAAAATCACTGCGACCGTGAAAACTAGCTCAACATTCACCGTACCCCAGGTACAACGTGATAGTCGCATTACCGGTCTTTGGTAGTCTTTTACATCGATCGTAATTCGTAAACAACATACTGTACTGAGCGCCGTGCTGTGGAAAATAAACACCTTTTCACAAACCGTATCGGTCGAAGACTAGTCATACTGAAGCAAGCGATTAGAATCAGTTGATTATTACAGAGCTGATTCGTATAGCGCTGTAACATGCAAGCAAAAGCCGATACCTTCATTCCCTCTCCCACTATGCATTGTGCGTTTATTTACGATAGCTGTAGATCTAAATTAATTCCTGTAAAACGGAAAGCTCGCCGAAAGTGAGGTGAAAATGTTAATTCTGTATGCTGCTCCTAGAACAGAAATTTTGCAGATGAGGGCGACGCTGAAGAAAATGGTCCCACCAAAGAATTGGGTTTAGAGGATTTTAGGGGGCTATTTGGGCTCCGCCGAGGGCGAAATCGCCCGTCGCCCCCGGTTATTTCTGACACTGGTCAGTAGGTTTCACATATCTGGCTGAATCAGCATGGAATTTCATTTTCAGCTTCTGTTGAGTGTCCCATATGCGTACAGTGTCACTGATAGGGTCATGTTCTACAATCTGGGGTAGTTTGGTTTTGATCACACGGTTCAGGAACAATTTAGCAGGTGCAGCGTCTGTTGTAGAGTGATCGAGGAGTACATCCGTAAGTTCTAAGAAAACCTTTTAGGGCCTTTCTCCAGTTGACTCCTTCGACTTTCGCGATTTTCACATGCTTTTCCAGCGTTCTGACAAAACGTTCTACTTGGCTCTAGGCCACAAAGGGGTCACTTTGCGATGCCTAGAACCCATCGTTTCTGCGAACTTGGCAAACTCCTCTCCGTTGAAAGGAGGTCCGTTATCAGATTTCACGGTCTCTGGTGTCCCAAATGTTTCGAAGATTTCATCTAACTTTAGAACTACAGCTGCTGCTGCAGTTGATCGCACAGGTACCACAAATGGGAAACGTGAATAATCGTCTATGAACAGCATCACTGTTTCCCCTTCGATGTGTGCGAAATCAACACTGGTAAGTTCAAACACCTTTCCAGGTAGCATGGTTGGTTTCAACGGTTCACGGTTGGATACTGGTGTGGCAATTTGGCATGATAGACACGATGTGACTTTTCGTTCTATCAGAGCTATCAGTTCTATCAGTTCTATTCGTTCTCATAAGAGCCTTAGTTTTCACAATACCAAGATGTCCCTCATGTGCAATGTCTACCGTTCTCTCCTGAAGTTGTGCAAGTATGACGATATGATTAGACTTTAAAAGCACAGTTTGATCTGCTGTGCATGTCAACTCAGTTTTGATTTTCTCGTATCTCGACAGTTCAGAAACACTGACACCAGGGGAAGGTTTGTACCACTGCCCTGATTTCATGCACATGATAACTGCCTGTATAACGGGATCACTCGCTGTTGCAGCTTCAATTTTGCTTAGAGTCATTGCTTTGGCACAGCATTGCGTACTATGTATGCAATGTGACCGTCAGTTCTCTCGTCTACACCCTCAAGCGTAGATGTAGCAGGTGTACTGCTCGGCTGTCTCGAACCGTAGTCTGCCGGGTTGTTGTCACCTGGTTCATAATCAACGTGAAATCGATACCTCTACAGGTCCATTAGCCAACGATAGCTCTGCAGGTCCATTAGCCAACGATACCTCTGCAGGTCCATTAGCCAACGATAGCTCTGCAGGTCCATTAGCCATCGATAGCTCTGCAGGTCCATTAGCCAACGATACCTCTGCAGGTCCATTAACCATCGATAGCTCTGCAGGTCCATTAGCCAACGCTACCTCTGCAGGTCCATTAACCATCGATAGCTCTGCAGGTCCATTAGCCAACGATACCTCTGCAGGTCCATTAGCCATCGATAGCTCTGCAGGTCCATTAGCCAATGCTCGATTCTTGCGGACGGTTTTGATGAGAGGTTATTGAACAACGACACAAGTGGTTAATGGTGTGTCACGACTCTGAAGTCCTTGCCATATACATACCGGTGAAAACGCTTCACTGCCCAGTAGATTGCCAACGCTTCACGATCAATCTGGGGATAGCGGGATTCAGTAGCAGTAAGTGGATAGCTAGCGTACTACAATGGCACAAGATTTCCATCTACACCCTTCTGGGTGAGCACAGCTCCAAATCCAATTCAACTTCTATCTGTATAGATTACAGTTTCCTTTTCAGGATCAAAGTAACAGGGGTCAAGGGTCGTCTCAGCAGATAAAGCATTCTTGAGATTCGTGAACGCAGTATCTTCTTCCTCTGTCCATCTCCAAGGTTCATCCTTGTGTGTCAACCTTCGAAGAGGACGTGTGATGGTGGCAAAATCCCTGATGTAGCGTGAACAAATCACTGCAGAACTCAGTAAGCTCCGTACTTGAGTGACGGTGTTGGGCGATTTCAATGTCTGAATCTCACTGACTTTCTTGGGGTCTGGTGAGATACCTTCACCACTGAAGATATGTCCAAAACACAACATGCTTGGTACACGAACTTGACACTTCAACAGGTTCACACGCAAGTTGCTCTCAGTCAGTCGCTGTAACACCATTCAAAGATGCCGGTCGTGTTCTTTCATGTTTCTTCCCCCCACATAGATGTCATCACTGATATTCTTGACACCTGGTATGCCACTGATGACGTCACTGACAATCTTCTGAAAGATTTCAGCTGAACATGACATACCAAAGTTCAAACGTTTATAACGCCATAATCCGACATGAGTCGAGAACGTGGTGAGATGGCGTGAGTCTGGATGTAACATGATCTGGTGGTAGCCTTGCCTTAGGTCAACCTTACTAAACACTTCAGGTCAGCTACAATGTCATCAATGGTAGGTATGACATGACGTTCACGACTTATTGCTTGATTGACTGCACGCATGTCGACACAGATGCGTATCTCGTCACCTGTTGGCTTTGGAACGACAACTATAGGTGATATCCAAGGTGTTGGACCTTCAGCTCGTTCTATTATGTCAGCCCTTTAAAGTTCATCCAGTTTCTGTTCGACTTTCTTTCTGACGTGAAAAGAAATACGTCGATGAGGTTGTGCTACTGGTTTGATCGATTCATCGACAACAACCTTGACAGGATCACATTTGCATGTTCCCATCCCAGCGGTCACTGTGGGGAATTCACTCATAATGTCTGTGTCAGGATGCGATTTTGGTTCAGACACACTGTTGACCGATGTGATCAGGTTTAACTTCTGAGACGCTTTCCAACTCAAAAGCGAACTGCTTGGTCCATTCACCACGAAGAATGTCTCTCTGCAAGTATACTGACCATTCGATGCATCAGCTTGGAATTTCCCAAGTAGATTGAATGGTTCTGCTGACATGTATGGGTACACTCTCGAATTTGAGTGTGTAAGCTTCGGCTTGTTCTTTACTGCGAGATAATCTGTCTCGTTCAAAACATTCACCGATGCCCCAGAATCAGCTATTACTCGCACTGGTGTGCCAGCAAGACGAAATGTATACCCGTCATCATCAATGTTATTATCACTAAAATCACACTTGACAGCCGAATTTTCAGATCGCCTGTCTTTTATCTCAGATGCGTTCCCTATCTCTATTGCACGCGCTCGGTGTCTGATTGGTCTGTCTCGCCCGTGCTGACTGATTTGTCCCTGTGATTGTGCAGCTGGGTTTCCTCGACACATCCTTATGACAAGTTTTCCCTCGAGCAGGACACTGTTCTTTGTGTGGATACAAGCCGCCGCAAAGTCCACATGTGGTGTTTTGCTATTTGTCAGGCTTCACTTGACGTCTGCTGTGATAATTGGCACTAGGCATGTGTTTGTTTTCCTGATGAAACGGTTTGCTGTTCACTGCATGTGACGTCTCTCGATCCATTTCTTGAGAATGTTCATCTGCAGTTTCCATCGCGCGAGCCGTTTTTAAAAGTTGCTCTAAGGTTAAGCCTTGTTCTATTGCTTTCCTCCGTAGGCGCGAGCTTGAAGTGCCTTGTATAATTTGTCGTCTGATCTCGACATTGTTGTCTTGAAAACCACACTTCTTAGCCAGGATCTGCAGTCTAGTGTGAAATTCTGTCACTGATTCACTAGTTCTCTGTGTTTCTTTGCGAAAAGAATACACATGGTGGTCTGTACACCTTTGAGGTTCGATGTAGTCGGCCATCGCTTTTATGGTTCGGTCGTATATGTTTGTATCCTCATGTTCACCAGCGGCTGGTTCTGGTATGATTAATGTATCGATAATGTCACATGCTTCCTCACCTATATAGTGCACAGGCCTCGACGCTTATTTTCAGATCTGGTTGTCCTGTCGGGCAACAAGATGCAATTTTTACTGTCCGAATTTTGATTTTACTTGTCCAAAATTTACTTGTGCAATCTATGAGCCATTAATGTCCTCTTTTGGTTCAGTGCATATCATATTATCAGGAGTGTATAATATAGAGATCTATGTTATATAAATAGATATATATATATATATATATACATATATAACATATATAGATAGATGTAGATATATATATATATTGTACACTCCTGATATTTTTGCCAGTATTCCCTGCGTGCATATAGGCTCGCACATACCTAGGCATGTGTCTGCGCGCGCGTTTGCATGCGTGCGTGCGTATTACACTTACAGTATATATACCGTATTTACTTGTGTATAAACTGCGCTTTTTGTACACAACTTCAATAAAAAAAATCAGGGGGTGCGACTTATAGACAAGGCTAAGAAATCTTGTTAATGTACCAATGTTTGTACCAACTTTTCAATGCAAAATATGGGGTGAGACTGATAATATACATGAATTATACTTATACACAAGTAAATACAGTACATGTAAAATTGTAATGAAATTCACACGTTTATGTTTGCATGCTGGCACGCTCATTGTGTGTCATTACCGATTGCAGCTTTTTTCTCAATCACAGGAAAAACCTACATATTCAGTAATTAATATGCCCCAACCGACTTATAAAAAATCGTACCCCCACCCCAGTACATAAATCAATGCCGCCCTGGCCAGGGAGGTACGCATTGCCGCTCTGAATAAATCTGTAATGGTAACAGTGGGTGTCGTGGGCTGCTTTTTTCAGGAACCTTTGAAAACGTTTGAAGTGAGAATGTGGTGCGATAGCGCCCTGGCTCAGAGGATGTTAAGAATATTAAACAACTAGAATTTTTCAGTTGTCTGATCGGGCAACTAGGCAAGAGAATAACTTGTCCGACATAGACTTTCACTTGTCCCGGGCAATCGGACAACCGTTAGTGTCGAGGGCTGGTGCAGGAACATAGCCTTACGCCTTTCAGGATCTGTGACCGCCATGGCTGTGAACATGTTGCCAAGTCTCTTCACATATTTCTCAAACCGGGTAGGTGCGGTTTCTCGAGGGTGCATTTCAAATTCAGCAAACGATGGTAAGCTGATCGCCATTTTGAGAAATATGCGCGCTCCGTTTCGTCACCCGGTGTGGATCAACGAAATCGGAAATACCGATGGTTGGTAGTACGACAGTTTCTTCTATTCACGCCTACTTATCGTGTGTGTTCATGATCCGATCCTTGTCGCCATTTGTGATGTATTCACATAGATTTATTGTGAAATAAACGCAAGTATAACAAACACAACGGACAATGCAATGGCATCATTACTCTGGTCCTTCGCTATCCTTCCCGCTCTATCCTCAGGGGAGAACAACTAGCGCCATCTAGTATGGGCAATATTAATATAATGAATCAATACATTACAAATATGATAACGAACTTACTTGGTCTTTCTGCCTTCATGACATCAATGCCAATGCAACTGTTGACGGCCCCATTTCTGATGCCAGCACAGTATAGTCACCCTGGTGAGCAATATTGAAACTAATGCGATGGTCCTCGGTATCCTCCAGAATTGGTTTCCCCTTTTCGGTTCTCACCAGTTTCACTTTTTGCCATGGAATATCGAGCTTCTCAGCAATGACTTTGCGCAGCAGCAATCGTCCAACCTGCATAGAGGTTTGTGTGTGGTTAAAAAAAAACCTAATTGAATGCCGATGTGGAGAACTTTAAAGATGCGATTATAGAATTTTATAATTTTGAATATATGACAGGTATAGTTGTAGATTGAACATATGAATTATACCATTTATTAAATTAAATGGGCATAATACTAACGATGTAAAATTCATGCACAATGATCACAATCCATAGGTGGGCTATTTCACGTAGTGATAATTCTCAAACCAGAATCAATAATTTATCAAGCCACTAATGAAGAATCTACTTTACACTCAGAGCAGACATGGTAATTATCTGATTCTGCCATGTCTGTATAATTACTAAAGTATTGCAAAATTCACATTTTGTGAGCACCTAGTCTATCATGAATTAATGTAGGATACTAACTAGTGCGGCTTTGACATCTTTACGGAAAACAAATTTGTGTATTCTTTGGTTCTCTTCCAATTGAACAGACTGTGCAGCTAGTAGCCATTCTTCCCTCAACGGTTTCCATTTTCCAATATTAAATGCCCATTGGATACTTCCCATTGTCCGCCTAACCATGACAATGTGGCTGATAACACCATCTGCAATTTTAAATTCACATAGTGTAACATATCTGTAACATAGTGTCAGTGAAGTCTTAATAGTTTCAGCTTGAACAAACTGTATCAATTTAAAAAAATGATTTAAATTAAATTGATTTTTTGCCATTTTAAATGTATATAGTGCCACATATCTGTAACATAGTCAACTCTTTATAGTTTCAGCTTGAACAGAACTGTACCCTTTAAAAAAATTCGACCTAAATGATATAAATACCATGCCTGGACCCTGGTATGTATAACATAAACCCTACCTCAATATATGTACTAAGTACTTTACAAAAAATACCGCAACCCTGGTTAATAGCTAGGGCTAGCTACAACCCAGTCAATCTTGTATTTCACTGTAGTATAGCACCCTAAGAATTTCACATCTGTAAAGGGAATATTATTTACGATGTAGTCTTGGGGTTTCTCTGGTAATTGCCTTTAACAAGCATAAATATATTAAACCAATCTGCTACTTCAATTTTGACTGCATTATGTTACCAGGAGTGAATAATAATAGATTATTATTAGTAGTATATTTACAATCTATTATTATTCACTCCTGATGTTACTATAGAGCAGTGGTCATGGTGGTTGTGGAGAGGTTAGCGTGCCTAACTTTCGTATCAAGTGATGCAGTCAGTGCAGTGCAGTGTTGTAGGCCTCGAGGCCAGTCTTGGCCTCGAGACCGGCCTCGAGACCGTTTTCATTGGTCTCGATCTCGGTCTTGGCCTCGGAGTGCAATGACTCGGACTCGGACTCGGACTCGAGCCCTCCGGACTCGAGGACTCGGGTCGAGGCCGGCTCGAGGCCACTATATACATAGTACACAAATGTACATATTGTAATTAACACGCAGTTTACAAGAATTTAAAACTAAAACTCCTAGGTTTTCTAGATACACGGCCTAATCTTGTAACGTTTTCAATGGCTCGATTAAGATTCTTGTCCCTAATTTGGTTTGAATCTGCTGTCACTTCGTCCCTTTGCGCTTTTTCCCTTTTTCCCTGTTTTCGATTTTTTCCCTGTTTTTTATCAAAACTGCGACTTGACTCAGCGACTCGGACTCGCGGGTTGGCTGTAGGACTCGACTCGGACTCGTGGTGCGGGCTCGGGACTCGGACTCGGACTCGGGGGGTGCGAACTCGACTACAACACTGATGCAGTATCTATTTACAAGGCAGAACAAACCTGGCTTTCAACATTACGAAACATGAGTATATCTCTCATGGCTTGGAGGACTATATAAACTTGGAATCCCTTCAATTCTCTGCTAATGAGGGAAACACATGAAAATACATCCAGATGAGACGGATACCAGAGAAGTGTGGCCGAAAGGAGGTGTTGATCCTAACCGCTGAGCGCGGATCTTGCGCGCAGTTTCGCAGCAAGGCGCACGCAACCGCGTGAACGTCCTACGAAAGTATGCAGCGCTGGCAGCTATGGATCCGTGCGTCAAATGCATAGGCCGGCGCACAGTTCCATAGCTGCCAGCGAACAGTCCGGAATTTTAGCGGAGGACACAGAGGGCAGAGATTTGGGACGTGGGAGGAACTCGCGACTTAGATGGGGGGTCGTACAGATAGGGGGGCGAGAGCGAAGCTTTTGATTTCGCGGTGGTTCCATTTCCGTGTTGTCTTAGGCATTTTCACTATAAGTTGTACAGCGCCCCATGACGCCTGTCCTATGTAACACTTGATATGTGGACATCAGAGGGATCGCACCGTGATTGCATGAAGAAATGGATGACGACGTTGTACGAGAGAGTATGCACATTATGTGGCTATTCGTAACATCGAACTGATTCCTCTGCCTATTGCTCTGCTCTGTGCTGCTACAGAACGTCATGATAGCAGTGTCTACGTCGTGTTGAAGGGAACTGTCACACAACACCACCTAACCATCTACTTTATCCACCAACAAAACCAAACTCACAACTCGAACTGTGTTTTGTATATGGTACAGGGTCTCCAACCCTGTGAACTCCAAATGCGGAATGTTCCCACAGTGATCAGTAACTAGTGGCTTATTCCAAAATTGATGGACAGGAGGGGGGCAAAATATACCTTGGCTGCCGCAGGCAGGCCCGCGTGCCGTAGGCATGCCAGCGCTAGGGGGTCTGGGGGCATGCCCCCCCAGAAAATTTTGAAATATTTAAGCCATTTTCCTGCAATCTGAGGCATACTGTGAGCCATATTCTCATGTCTGATAACACTATCTCAACCCTAGACTCTACCCTACAACCCTTGTCTGATTAGCAGACAAACTATGCGACACCTTGCAGACAGCGCCTGTCTGACTAGGCTATTCCATTTACCTTAGACATGCCAGATACAAAATGCCTGAAAAAAAACAATGTGTCCAAGCGAACAATGCGAACAATCAGTGCAAATTTTGTACAGTGCAACTGAAATGAGGAATATAACCTTGCCGCTGCAGAATGCGGAAATTAAGCCTAGAAATCGTAATGATTCCGCAGAATGAGGAATGGTTGGAGACCCTGTATGGTGTTGGGGGTTAGTTGTATATATACTGCAGTATATATGCAGTGTCAATACTGATGCTTCCCATTGCGCAGCACATCAGCCAGCTGTACATGAGCCGACAAAGGCAAAGTCTGCTGAAGCAGTTACAAGTATAACACACAAAGAAACCATCGAACCATCAAGAACACGGGTCAACAGCGGTATTTCCTTACTGCTTATAAGGCTGGTGAGGTAAATGGAATGAACGGTTACAAATACATCGCAATATATGCTGTTATATGCTAGAACTCTATATGCTTTACATTGCACGGTCGTTCAATTGTCAGACATTGCGCGACAACATGCCCCACCAGGAAAATCAGGACACAGAAATAATGTATACGGAAGAATACCCAATACGTCATCATTGACTAACCGCATACTTCAGCACCCGCGAAATGGTCCGTCAAGGCAGATGTCAAGTACCACACAAATATCGTCAATGTTGTATAGAGTTACAGCCACCTGCAAACAAAAGATGAATTACAACAAATGAACACCATTTCTCAGCTTTGTGCAATATGGACTCAATGAACAGAAGGCTATTTAAAATCAAATGTTACATATACCACTCACAGTAACATTATCATGCTGCTCATGCTGTGTGCAGATAGGCTAGTTCCCATTTCAGTTTCTCTTTCCAGTTTGGGGAGTTATAGCTAGACTGGTACCCGTTCGCCACCTTCATTCTGGCAAGTATCCTTTGCTACACTGAAATTAGTTAGTGTAGCGTGTGGAACTGTCGACCGGGTACGAGTCTAGGTTATAGCCGGCTGAGCCATTGATCATCATTTTGCATCACTCGGTACACAACGGTCGGGTATATAATACCTTCGTATAATATATCATTCGACACTATACTATTATTTGCGCTAACAAATGTTAACAAATCTCTATCGTTCAACGGCAATGCCAACTGTCAAGAACAACATTATATATGTAACAACTAGACGATGACTAGGCCTATTTCAATGTTGTCTCACCGATGGAAAGTAATCTTTCGTGCTTTTCACTCCTCACATGGAACAACCTTACACTTGTATGCACTACAACAGCGTGGCATGATATATCGATGGATGCAAGATCGATGGCTATGTATGAATGCGAAACTATATATGCTCTATGCTCTATGCAGAGGGCTATGCTATATATACATGCTCGAACTATTACGTCATCATCGGAAACATCAGACCATCGGGGGTACTAAGATGGATACGATAAGTTGAAGCGCACGTCACGATTGCAGGTAGACTGGTACAGACCTTCACTCCGCCAAGTATCCTTCGCTACACTCAACTTATAGTTAGTGCAACGTGTGGAACTCTCCACCGCGCAGCAGTCTAAGCTCAATGGCCGACCCTTGTGTGGAAAAATACCATGAAAATGCCTCGTACAGGGCCTCGTCGCGCCATCTATAGGTAGCCATATGTACGAGAATAATTTCACAGCGTGAAACGGAAGAAATGCAAACTTGCTTTTCTAGAGGAAAACGAAACGCGCCAACCAGCAAACGAGCAATTACGAGCATTTGTATTAAATCTCTACCTACGTGCATAGTGAAAAGGCTTGTGGAATCGCCACAACTGCTCAATTGACCGATTATACCGCTTTATCCTATACCCAAAGGGCACTGTCGAAACAGTGTTCTAAACAGGGCAGCGAATACTATAAAATTTGCCGCTCTGCGGCGTTGTTCGCGCTTTGCGCGGATATCCGGCTGCAGATTGTCCAGTGGCTTAATTAACTAGGGTATGGCAGGTATAGCACGTGCCCTGGGCACCACTTGGAGGGGGCGCCACTGAGCAATTTCTGTTAAAGTCAGACAAGCTATCCTCAGATAGTGAAAAAAAATTTTTTTCAGATGTACACGCTAAAAACAGATTCTTGATGGCAGACAGGACAATTACCAGATCTGAAAATAAGCGTCCATGCCTGAGTTAGCTATTCAGTTGGCAGATAGATTAACTTATTAACCACATTACGTTGACTTACGTTACAGTGACAGAGACTGAGTAGTTCAACCATCAGCAATTTGAAGTTTATGTTTCTCTTTTTTAAGTATTTTAGTCTTTGGTGTCCCCAAAGATAAAAATACTAAACTCAAAAGTGATATTTTTGTGATGAATGCTGTCGCAGAGTGCAGGAAATTGCATCTAAGAGGTGTAATATTTTTTTTTATTCCAGGGGAGTACCCCCAGACCTCCCTAATCTGGACTACCAGGAACCCCTTCCAAACCAACCCCCCTAGCAGCTGCACTGCTCGGCTGCTACCTGCAGCAGCAGACAGTCGCCTACCTTGGTAGTTTAGCCTGCTACTTTATAAACCTGTGACAAGCCTGGGCCAATATATAAGTCAATATAGGATATTGGTCTAATATAGGCAAAGCAATACTAAATTGTAAAAAGTGCCGCAAAGCGACAGCGCTACCTGACGGCAGGTGTTTTGATGCTAAACTCACTGGCAAACGAATGAAGAGCACCCTCCCATCGCTGCGTTCGCGCTCAGAGCATATATTTAGGATACTACTAATACAGATCTAAAATCTATGATAGCTAGGCTTTGCTATACCGGTAGTACAGTAATAAAGATACAGCTGCGTAACTTTAATGAATTCGCTATATATTAACATGTCATCATGGATATGCGTCGAGCGCGAGCGTAGTGGTGGTGGTGGGGGGAGAGTAGGGAGAGGGGGGCGGTGGAGGGGCTCTAAAGGCAAAAGGCAGTTGAGCGGCTTAAATGAGTGGCGTGGCAAGTGTGCACAATAATCACCAGATGCGCACAGCCTGCGTGGCGGTGATAACGGGGCTGCGACTGCCATTGAGTTTGCTACACCCCAATCCAAGTATAGGGTTCAGCTGCGGCGAGAATTTCGCTCAGGCTTGTGAGTCTAAGAGGGCAGTAATAGGCGGGGGCCGTTGATTATAACAAAGTTGACGATGGCTAGGCAGTAACTGGCACCGTCTGATCGTTAATAAGTACAGTTAGGCGCTAATAGTCAAGACCGGCGTATTAGTTTGTCAAGTATACTGCTAATGGTATAAGGAATCGTCGCCGTAATTGAGACATCGGCGGTCCAATCTGGTAATGCCGTTGGCGCCAGCCGCGGGTCTAAATTGGTGTGGTGGCAAGCGCAAAATAGGCGGCTCCGAATTGCGGGATCTCAGGGCCAAGCGTAACACTGTGGCTTAGCAACAACCCCGGGGTGTTTGTTGTTTTTAGGCAGTAATATTGTTTGTGCGGGCCGGGGATGCTTATATAACGAGCTAATGAGGCTAGTAGATGGTATACTCTGGGTGTATTCTGCGGCAGGCAGCTGAGTAATAGCCAAGGGTGGGGCTAGATGACAGCGGGTACCCAGGGCCGCGTCTTCCTAGATGTTGCAAGACACACGGTTATTCGGTTTGAGCTAATATACGCTAAATAAGCGGCGTAGTGGCGCGGCCGTGGCCTTTCCATGTTTATAGGTGCTGTGGGCGGCGTGTTAGTCCGCGATCCTCATAGCGTTGGCCCCAACAGCAGGGCCTACTTCATTATCGAGCGAGACGGCGTCGCGTGGGATTGCGTCACATGGATTTGCCACGTTCATGGGTACACTCTAGAGCTAAGCTGTTCACGTATGGCAGTTACGGTAGCTGTAGCTAGCTCGGTGAGCATATGCGTATAGGCGCGGAGCGAAAATTGCTATGCGTGGCGGGCGATGCGTTTTTGCATGGCGTGCGAAAATGTCTCTGGTGGACTGATAAATGCTGTAGCCGCACGTCGCGTTGTTCGAAGTATGCGGCCGTTCGAAACTGTAAAGCGAAGTCAGTCATTCTGATTCTGCGTGGACTGGGGATTCAATAGACATTTCTTTAGTAAGACAGGACAGTGATATTGGAGCAGAGGACGTAACTGGACCGCGTTTGGCGCTATATGGTAATGGGGTTACATTATTTAAACGTGAGGTGCACAAGGTGCCAGTTACTGGCTAGCATTTCGGTTGGAGAAACTTGCACTAATCGAGTGGCGCCATATTATGCCTTTACGACATGCTGGGCATTGGCGAGGTTGGGGCGGCAGTGCTAATTGAACTTATGATTAGGAAGTAGTTGCCGAGTGTCAGGCGCGGATGCGGAGGGTGCAGTCAATGAGGGCTGGCCGCGCGCGCCATGGTTTTCTGCCTACGGCGGGCCGGCGAGGCATCTCCAGGGGTTGAGTTAGGGGCTGACGTGTTGCTAAATTCAACGGTGGGCTAGCTGCAGAGCTAATAGCAGGGTGGCTAGGGTCAAGGACTGGGCTTAGAAAATAATTTATGATTATAAGAGAGCGTGAAACCTTGTTCATATTAGAACATTGGCTTTGGGCATAATGAACGCTGTGCAAGCTTGTAGCGGCGTGGCACATTCCACGAATGAGCAAAAATCAGTTCAGGTCGCGCTTTTGTTAAAGGCAGTACGAATCCATGTTTTAACCGCCCTTCCTGGGCTGATGAGGGTGCAAAAGGTTTATCGGCGAGCAGCTATTACTCTTTGCATGTCAGTCACGCGAAAGTTCAGTTTTTGGTGGCGCTTTGTGCATAAGAGCGGCAGTAAAATGAGTAGGGTCAGCAGCTGAAAGCAAAAGAAGTTTTTGTGGCACGGCTGGCCGTGGCAGCCCAATTGTCCTCAGAAAGATTGTCTAAAAATCTGCCCCAGTGGGCCCTATTTGGACGGCTTTTACCTGTGAGCGGCTGCGCAAATTTCAGCAGCAGTGATGGCTTTTCCTACCATGATGCTATACACCGACTATCACGAGCCTAGGTCGAGCCGTTTAGATTTGTGCCGCAATTCTGCATTTCCTCCCTATACCTTAAGTTAAGGAAGGAATGTTCCCCCTTCTTTTACACCTCTTGACCTTTGACCTTTGACCCTCAGCTTCAACATCCCAACTCGTTTTTGGATTACCCCCCCCCCCCATCCCAACTTTCGAATGCGTACGTTGAGTCGTTTAGATTTGTGCCCAACTGTTGACGGACGCACAGACGCACGGCCGGACAGACGCACGCTCATGCGATTCTACAAGCTGCATCTGACTATGTCAGATGAGCTAAAAAATGCTACAGTAATTGTACTCTAATTAAGTTTGTATATATTCATGCATATACTGGGGCAAATGCTAGAATATCTGTAATCTATGTTTTGCGCATGTATGCGTAAATGAGTGTTTTCAATGCGTATTTTACGCAAATACGCATGCAATCTGGAGCACTGTAATCCACTAGATGTTACAGATACACATCAATGGATCAATAACATATCACACACTTATAAAATAACCAACACAAAAAAGTATTTCCATCTCTCTTGTGGTGACGAGTTATGCCACTACCAGGTCCACGTTTCATACGATTTTCTAACCAAAATATCGAACAGAAAATCTAGCACACCCTTGTGAATGACGCATGCCATTGGATTATTGGATCAGAACTATATCACTATCCGTCAGCCGACTAGTATCTCCATTTAGTGATTTACTATACGAGATTACGATCAGCTACATTACGCTAGCTGCTGACTGATAACTGATAAAACAAGTTATATGTGCAAGTAATGAAAGTAGTACCTCAGCAGTACAGCTTTTCAGTTTTCCTAGACGCACTGCAGCCCGGTATACGCGCGAAGCGCAAACAGCACCACCTGGTGGTGCCATTAGAGTCAATTCGCTGCCCAATATGTATGTATACGCGCGAAGCGCGAACAGCACCACCTGGTGGTGCCATTAGAGTCAATTCGCTGCCCAATATGTATAACTATATACGCAAATCACTTTGTGTAGTACATAAAGCCCCAGAATCGGTGAATTGAGCAGTTCTGGCCATTGCCGAAATTTTTGGACTTTGCACGTAGTGCGAGAATAAATCGAATGGTCGTAATTGGTGTTTTTTTTTCTTCGCGCGGTACGTTTTTTCCTATAAAAACGACTTCGAATTTATTTAATTTAACGCCCTGAAGTTATTCTGGTACATATCGCGGCCCATAGATCGCGCCACGAGGCTCTCTCCGAGGCATTTCGCAGACAATTTTCGTTAGACTGGCGCGCGGTCGAGAATTTCACACGCTGCAGTAACTATAACTTTAGTGTAGCGAAAGAGACTTGCCCGAATTAACGTCCGTGCCAGTCTAACCTGGAATCGTGACATCGCGTGTTCGTTATCGTAGCCATCTTCCTTCTCCTTTTGAACCTGTTGACCCCCCACAGGTTTTGCGATGATGACGTCAGACTTCAAGAGTGTATATATAGGACAGCAGACGCATAATAGCATAGTAGAGCATAGACGATATGTTCTTTGCAATTCATACATACCCATCGATGTTGCATGCATGAATGTGTGATGCCACGCTGTTGTAGTGCGCTCTTGTGTAAGTCTACGGTTGTTCCATGTGAGTCGTGGAAAGCAGGATACATTTCTTTCCATAGGTGAGTGAACCTTCGAATAGTCATCGTGTAGTTCTTACATAATGTTGTATCTATATCATGTATATGTGTGGAAATGCCAAGGTTTAATTGTTAACGTGATCAAATAATCGATTGAGATATGCACGTAAACGTCGTCTTCATAAGCATAACATCGTCTTCATTATACTGTGTTGTCCGTCGTGGATATCATGTGTGTGGTATATATATATGTATATATATATCTATATATTCAGCTTGCAATACATCTGCAATTATAGCGTAGGTTTATGTAATATCTATGTAACATATATTCCTATGGTATATTCGTATGTCCAGTATGTATTCGTAACGTATTCGTATGTATACCTATCCTACATGCTGCATACATGGATATGTATATGTATATGTAGTATGGATACATGGTAGTTCTTACATAATGTTGTATCTATATCATGTATATGTGTGTAAATGGCAACTCATATATGATATATGTCATATATATGTAACATATATTCGTATGCTATATTCGTATGTCGAGTATGTATTCGTAACGTATTCGTATGTATACGTATTCGTATTCGTATACGTAACGTATTCCTATTCGTATGTAGTGGTAACGTATATTGGTATGTCGAGGTCGTCAAATCATCTATTCACATCTCGTACGTGCATGAATAGCGGCTTGCGGTTTTACTATTCAACACATCTTTAATTGTGATATTGCGCGGAGAACGGTTGTGGCGCATTGGCGGTTAATTACAAAGCTACCGAATTGCGCGCCATGAAGGCAGTAACTCGCTATTTTCTCCGTCATTTCTTTCTTGACATGTTCAGCTTCCAATATATATAAAATGTGCCGTGTTGTCGGCCGCCGCCGCTGTGATCCGCCGCTGATCATGCCGTCTTGTCGGTCATTTATGTTATGTCCCCCACCCATACCTTCATATCTGAGCGATTTCTATTATTCGGAGAAATTCACATTCCCATTACATTCAGTGAGTTAACGTTCAAACCATGTGTGCATTTTGCCTACGTGCGTGCATGAATAAGTGCTAGCGCTTTGCATATTTCAAACAGAATTCCCGAAATTCGGTAGNAATGGGGAGGAACATAGAGTTTATTTTGCCATAAGGTAGTATATTAGGGCATGTACGAAGTATTTGGCTTATTTCTAGTACTGAGAAATTACGTGTAGATGCGCATTGTGCGGCTTTAAATGAAGGATTAATATTTGGCTGATTGATTGTACAGTTGTTCATGTTTTGATCTTTGATATGGGAAGTATAGCAGGTCTAGATTTTGAGCCGAATTTATGCATAAGTGATTGAAAAATATGTTTTTGTTTTGAAAGAACTCTTCAGACTGTAATGACCTAATCTGTGGCTTGTTTACCTTATATGTGTAATTGCCATTGTGTATAGAGAGTGTTGTTACTAGGACCCAACGCCTCCCCCAGGTGCCAAAAATCATTTTTGATTCATTCAGAAACGATCTTTAACGATACTGTTTGTAATATAGTGAACCATCCCTAACTCTAAATACCACACCGTCAGGTGCTGCCACCATCACTAATCCTAATATAGACCGCACAGTATGTTTTAACTGGTTATATTGACTGGAAAACAGCATGAATCTAAAGCAGTCGTGTTCTCTATCACTCCAAGAAACCCATAGAAAACATGCAAACATTACAATGGCGACGAGAAAAGTGGATATATTTGCTGAAGATAAAGGAGTTATAATCGAAAGTCTGCGGGCGATATTCTGCTCATAGATCTGGACTTTCTCGTGGATCACGCTCCGTGCACACATGATGCAAGACCCCATCGCGCACTCGGAATGACAGCCGGAAGTAAATGACAGAGGTACCTGTATTCGCATAGACTCTGACTCGGTATTTATTCAAATTATTGAGGAACTTTTTTTTTTTTTCCCCTCCTAAAAGAGACTTTGAGCCATGATTCAGAGATTTTTTACAGTTCAAACGCAACATACGTGGGTAATGGAGATCCGTCAACCCAGGCCCTACGCTGGAGGAAATGGCTGAGGGGTTTCGAGAACCTGATGACAGGGATGAATGTTGATGATAAGGGTAGAATGAAGGCTCTCCTACTGTACTATGCAGGGGAACATGTACACGATACGTTTGAAACGTTGACATTGATTGCGGCAGAGGCAGATGATGTGTACAAGGAGCCGCGTAAAAACACTGACAAACATGAACAGGAGTTTCGGAAGATTGAACAGTTGCCAGGGGAGACAATCGACGCGTTCCACACGAGGCTACTACAGAAGGCAAACTTCTGTGACTTCCATGACAAGGATAAGGAGGTCCGACTTCAACTTGTCAGTGGTACCACGTCGCGTCACGTTCAGTATAAGGGCAACAAAATCTCGCGTGACAAACTGCCGCTCGCTGGTTTGTTAGAAGAAGCCAGGGCCCATGAACTTGCCAATGCAGAGTCGGATAATCTCGTGCGTAAGGAAGTATCGTACGTAAAGCCACACAGTCAGCACACTCAGAAATCGCGCACGAGAACTCCGCTGCAAAACTCCGCCAAGAAGACACAGTCGGCGAGACAATGCTGGTTCTGCGGAGGCGAATATCCCCATTCATCAACATGTCCCGCTCGCGATAAAACCTGTTCCAGTTGTGGTAAAGTCGGACATTTTGCGAAAGTGTGCCACTCCAAGGAACAATCAAATTCAAAGCCATCACCCAAGCCCAAGTTTAGGGGTTTCGGGAAGAAATTCCCCACAAAGAAAGTGTCGCACATACAAGAACATAGCTCAGATGACGAAATCTACTCGCTAAAAGAAAATGATGGACGTCCGCCGCACACCGAGATCACCCTGGGTGATAGTCAGAAGATCACCATGGTGATAGATTCAGGATGTCCCAGGAATATCATTAGTGAAAAAACTTTGTCAGGTTTTGACAAGATGCCATGTCTGAAGCCTAGTGATGTCAAACTGTACCCATATATGTCCAATGAACCTTTGCCCATACAGAAGAAGTTCAAAAGTCGAATGTCGTGTGGCCCGACTCAGCAATGCTGTTGAATCGCCATCGACCACGTAGATGTCCGCTATGGCTGTTCGTTCCCGACTGCCGAGGCACTTGGCATTCTCCACGTGAACTCGGTGACAGGTGACATCAGCGCTCAGACGACCTCAAGTTCACTCAAGTCGCTTCTCGTGGAATATGATGAACTGTTCAGTGGTGTGGGAAAGCTGAAAAACTATCAGGTTAGGTTACATGTGGATAGTAACGCTATGCCTGTTGCACAGCCTCATAGGAGGGTACCATACTCTCTGAGGAAGAAGATAGCTCAGGAAGTGGAACGGTTGGAAGGTAGTGATATCATTGAGCACATATCTGGTCCAACACTCTGGGTATCTCCTGTTGTGTGTGTTCCCAAGGCTAACTCTGAGGATATCAGGTTGTGTGTGGATATGAGGTGTGTGAACAAAGCCATTCTACGTGAACGCCATATCACACCAACGATCACAGAAATCATCGCTGACGTAAACGGTTCCAGGATATTCTCGAAGCTCGACCTAAATCAGGGGTACCATCAGCTGGAACTCCACCCCGATTCACGCCATCTGACAACGTTCAGCACTCACGTTGGTCTCCGGCAGTATAAACGTTTAAACTTCGGTATTAGCTGCGCCAGTGAGATTTTCCAGAACGCAATATCTCAGGTACTGGAAGGCATTCCCGGCGTGCTAAATATCAGCGACGACATCATGGTGTTCGCGAAGACTGAAGAAGAGCACAATATGATTCTCAAAGCTGTACTGGATAGACTGAAATCGAACAATCTCACATTAAATAGGAATAAGTGTCAGGTTGGGAAAACCGAGATGGAATTCTTCGGTTTCATATTCGGCGCATCCGGTATGACGGCAGATCCCAAGAAGGTACAAGCAATCATCGAGTCAGCGCAGCCGAAGTCAGCTGCAGAGGTACGCTCGTTCATGGGTATGATTACGTACGTGTCGCGGTTCATTCCTAATCTTGCGACAGTCGCCGCGCCGCTCCGCATGTTGACACGTAAAGATCAAGCCTGGATATGGGGTAAAGCTGAACAATTGTCGTTCGATAAACTGAAGGACTTAATCATGAGACAGGAGGTAATGGCCTATTTTGATCCAGCGAAAGACACAAAACTCATTGTGGATGCCAGTCCCGTTGGAATAGGTGCTATTCTCACTCAGGATAATCGTGTGATCTCGTATGCTAGCCGAGCTATGTCACCGGTGGAAAGTCGCTACTCACAGACTGAACGTGAGGCGTTGGCTATCTACTGGGCATGCAACCACTTCAGGATCTATCTATATGGTATGCATGTTGAAGTAGTCAGTGATCACAAGGCACTCGTACCAATCTTCATGAAAGAGAACTCGAAACCTCCGCCCCGTATAGAACGTTGGCTCATGAAGTTACAGGATTACAACATCACTGTGACCTATTCTCCAGGAAGTTCCAATCCGGCGGATTACATGTCCCGCCACCCACCAAACCATCAGACCGTGAACATCGACCGAAATTCTGAGCTCCATGTGAACTTTGTGCTGGATAATTCACTTCCTCGAGCTATATCGCGACAGGAATTTGTGGAGTCCACGGCAGCTGATCGCTCATTGAGTGGTGTGATCAGAGCTCTCGGGAATGGTCGGTGGTTCGACATTGTGAAGGACGATAAAGTTGCCAAGGCACTATTCAACATCAGGACTGAATTATCGTGTTCGGAAGATGGAATACTGCTACGTGGCACAAGAATCGTTGTTCCAGAATCGCTACACATGAAATGTGTAAAACTCGCACATTCGGGTCATCAAGGAATGGCCAAAACTAAGCAACTTCTCCGTATGAAGACCTGGTTCTCAGGAATCGACAACCTGGTGGAACGTGAAGTTGAGAACTGTTTGCTATGCCAAGCTAATACACCAAGCAAGCATCGCGAACCTCTACTGATGACACCAACTCCACTCAACAAGTGGGAGCGACTCAGTATGGACTTTTGTGGACCGTTACCTACCGGTGAGTATCTCATGGTGGTGATCGATGACCACTCGAGATATCCCGAAGTCGACGTACTACATAGTACATCTGCTCATGCTGTGATTCCTCGATTGGACAGGATATTTGCAGCCCATGGTGTTCCAAGTGAAATTCGCACGGATAATGGACCTCCGTTCAACGGCAGCGACTTCCGAGAATACGCCGAATCTCAGGGATTCCACCACAGGAAGGTAACTCCACTACATCCAGAGGCTAATGGTGAAGCCGAACGCTTCATGAGAACGCTCATGAAGGCCATTAGAGTTGGGGGCAATAGCTGGAAATCTGAGCTCTACAGATTTCTTCGCGCGTATCGAGCCACACCCCACTCATCTACCGGAATATCTCCGTCCATGGCTCTGAACAATAGGGAAATGAACGTTGGATTTCCATCTGTGTCACCTGGTCCAACGATCGACGAAATGACCCGCCATATGGTCATTCAGAAGGATAGTCTGTCGAAGACACTCCAGCGAGACTACGCGAACGAGAGACGACACACAGCGAGTTCTAACATGGTGCCCGGTGATTCTGTACTGGTTAGGAACAGTCGGAGGGGGAAAATGGATTCACCATTTCACCCTGAGCCTCTCACTATCACGAAGAAAAAAGGGAGTATGGTAACTGCTTCGAATGGTGATGTAGCCATAACGCGAAACTCCTCGCAATTCAAGAGACTGCCAGGTACTCCAACAGACTCCGTGATTCCGGAAATTGACCCAGGTACGCCGGAAGACGCTCCGGATGTTGACCCAGGTATACCGGATATCACCCTACCCGATAATGTGGTGAATAGTGGTCAGACTCCGCGCCGCACATCACGCACGAGAAAACTACCATCCAGGTTCAAGGACTATCAGTTGTGAATAGCAGGATTATTCTGTGTGGAACATTATTCATTCTTCATTTGTTGCAGAAATACGTTCTTTTATGTTGCGTTTGAATATACATGATTTCAACCAGTGTAATTCTCCAGTATGTAGGTGGCATGAGAGAAACATCATGCTGATAGATAATATTCCTGATTTGCAAAAGTAATGCATATTATTTCAGTGGTATGATTCTGTTTACATTTTTCACAAGTTCTATGAGATTTGTTTATTCTATATATATAGCTGTGGTATTTTCAAAAGCACTCCAGTCGGGTTTTATTAAAGTCGAATATCATTCACTACAATTCTGACAATTTTTATTGTGTAAACTTACAGGTAAAGTTTCATTTCAAAACAGATGGGTATTGTAATATAGTGAACCATCCCTAACTCTAAATACCACACCGTCAGGTGCTGCCACCATGCGGTCTATATTAGGATTAGTGGGGAAAACTTTTAGGGAAAAATCTCTGAATCATGGCTCAAAGTCTACCCACGTATGTTGCGTTTGAACTGTATGGAGATCCGTCAACCCAGGCCCTACGCTGGAGGAAATGGCTGAGGGGTTTCGAAAACCTGATGACAGGGATGAATGTTGATGATAAGGGTAGAATGAAGGCTCTCCTACTGTACTATGCAGGGGAAAATGTACACGATACGTTTGAAACGTTGACATTGATTGCGGCAGAGGCAGATGATGTGTACAAGCAGGCCGTAAACGCGCTGAACAAGTACATGGAGCCGCGTAAAAACACTGACAAACATGAACAGGAGTTTCGGAAGATTGAACAGTTGCCAGGGGAGACAATCGACGCGTTCCACACGAGGCTACTACAGAAGGCAAACTTCTGTGACTTCCATGCACAAGGATAAGGAGGTCCGCTTCAACTTGTCTGTGGTACCACGTCGCGTCACGTTCAGTATAAGGGAACAAAATCTCGCGTGACAAACTGCCGCTCGCTGGTTTGTTAGAAGAAGCCAGGGCCCATGAACTTGCCAATGCAGGTCGGATAATCTCGTGCGTAAGGAAGTATCGTACGTAAGCCACACAGTCAGCACACTCAGAAATCGCGCCGAGAACTCCGCTGCCAAAACTCCGCCAAGAAGACACAGTCGGCGAGACAATGCTGGTTCTGCGGAGGCGAATATCCCCATTCATACACATGTCCGCGCTCGCGATAAAACCTGTTCCAGTTGTGGTAAAGTCGGACATTTTGCGAAAGTGTGCCACTCCAAGGAACAATCAAATTCAAAGCCATCACCCAGCCAAGTTTAGGGGTTTCGGGAAGAAATTCCCCACAAAGAAAGTGTCGCACATACAAGAACATAGCTCAGATGACGAAATCTACTCGCTAAAAGAAAATGATGGACGTCCGCCGCACACCGAGATCACCCTGGGTGATAGTCAGAAGATCACCATGGTGATAGATTCAGGATGTCCCAGGAATATCATTAGTGAAAAAACTTTGTCAGGTTTTGACAAGATGCCATGTCTGAAGCCTAGTGATGTCAAACTGTACCCATATATGTCCAATGAACCTTTGCCCATACAGAAGAAGTTCAAAAGTCGAATGTCGTGTGGGGAACGAACAGCCATAGCGGACATCTACGTGGTCGATGGCGATTCAACAGCATTGCTGAGTCGGGCGACTGCCGAGGCACTTGGCATTCTCCACGTGAACTCGGTGACAGGTGACATCAGCGCTCAGACGACCTCAAGTTCACTCAAGTCGCTTCTCGTAGAATATGATGAACTGTTCAGTGGTGTGGGAAAGCTGAAAAACTATCAGGTTAGGTTACATGTGGATAGTAACGCTATGCCTGTTGCACAGCCTCATAGGAGGGTACCATACTCTCTGAGGAAGAGATAGCTCAGGAAGTGGAACGGTTGGAAGGTAGTGATATCATTGAGCACATATCTGGTCCAAACACTCTGGTATCTCCTGTTGTGTGTGTTCCCAAGGCTAACTCTGAGGATATCAGGTTGTGTGTGGATATGAGGTGTGTGAACAAAGCCATTCTACGTGAACGCCATATCACACCAACGATCACAGAAATCATCGCTGACGTAAACGGTTCCAGGATATTCTCGAAGCTCGACTAAATCAGGGGTACCATCAGCTGGAACTCCCCCGATTCACGCCATCTGACAACGTTCAGCACTCACGTTGGTCTCCGGCAGTATAAACGTTTAAACTTCGGTATTAGCTGCGCCAGTGAGATTTTCCAGAACGCAATATCTCAGGTGGAAGGCATTCCCGGCGTGCTAAATATCAGCGACGACATCATGGTGTTCGCGAAGACTGAAGAAGAGCACAATATGATTCTCAAAGCTGTACTGGATAGACTGAATCGAACAATCTCACATTAAATAGGAATAAGTGTCAGGTGGGGAAAACCGAGATGGAATTCTTCGGTTTCATATTCGGCGCATCCGGTCGGCGACGAGGATGGGATATATTTGTTCTATGAAGAGCCGTAGTCTGCTCTGGACAATAATTCAAGAAGATCACGCTGAAGATAAAGGAGTTATAATCGAAAGTCTGCGGGCGATATTCTGCTCATAGATCTGGACTTTCTCGTGGATCACGCTCCGTGCACACATGATGCAAGACCCCATCGCGCACTCGGAATGACAGCCGGAAGTAAATGACAGAGGTACCTGTATTCGCATAGACTCTGACTCGGTATTTATTCAAATTATTGAGGAACTTTTAAGAGNTCCCTTTCCCCCTTATCAATCTACCTCCCCCTCTTACCCTTATCTCTCTCCCTCTCCTTCTCCCTCCCCCCTCCACACACACACATGTGGTCATTATTCCACTCCGTGATGACGATCGATTAGGATTACTTCGTCGCGCCTTTACCGCAGCTAGCCGTCTCCCGTGCTCACCGCGTGTAGCAAGCAGTAGAATCAGCCAGTACGCTCTCTGTGCATATAGCACACTCTCAAGTTCTCTGTATATAACAACTTCTCTGTATATAGAAAGTTCTCTGCATATA